AATTTGGTTATCACATTTCGATTTAAAGTAATTTTAGAGTGAAATTTTGTCGAAAATAATAATACCATTTTATTTTCTCTTATTTTTTTAATAGCATTTTATTGTCAAACTTTTTAAAGAGCTTTTTATATTGTCTAGTTCTTTTCTAATCCATACTATTATAAAAAAAACTTCACGCGATAATATTTTTGTCCTCCAAACTCTTTTTTATCATTTTCCTCTATCCTCTCTTTTTTTTTCTCTTCCTCTAATATAATAATTAAACGAGTACTTTTTTTAAAGAAGTCCCACTCTAAAATGGTAATCTCAAGTTAGAAATGTTGGAGTTATATAATAAAGATAACTTAAAACTTGGGCTTGTAGAGGAAAAGAGGAAAAATTTAGTCTCACATAGGAAATGTGATAGAAAAAAAGGGTCTTTATAAGCCTTCCCTTTCTCTCCTATGCCTAGAAGAAAATAAAAGGTTATGCTCCACACTACACACGTGCGCGCCGGCCGGGCCGGGCTCGGGCTCGGGTCGGGTGGCACACGACATTCGGACACGAATGCCGCTCGAGATTAATGGGCCCTTAATCTGCTACATTTTTATTTTTGAATAAAATGTAATATTTATTTTTAAACAATTAACATGTGATAAACATTTTGTAACGGTTAAGAGAATTAAATTTTGAAACGGTAATATTCATGAGATTTAAATCAGAATCAAAACGGAAAATAGTTTTTATGAGGATTTAATTCGGTAATTAGAAACGTTCATTCTTAATCTCTATATAAATAGCAAGCTGCGAGGGTAGAAAAACACAGTGTGAAAAACACAAAACCTCTTCTTCTCTACTTTATACTTGCTACTGTATTCTGCTGGTTCCCTGAAAGTCACGAAGAATTCACAAAGCCTTCTTGAAGCTCGTGCTGACGAGAAGGAGGTCGCCTGACCGAGGGTCGTTGTATCTCCGGGAACTTTTGCCGCGTAGCCCTGTACGAGAGGGGGCAATTAGTTTCTTGGGATAGTGCTTGCACGCCTCGATCATCAGGCTATATTCTAAACTCAGTTTAATTTTATATCTATTTTGAATCATTATCTAATTCTGTTAAAACTGTATTTTGTGCTAATTACACTCTAAACAGCTTATATTCCCAACAAGAAATTGTGGATTGATTTTTTGGAATGGTCGCATATGTTCAGCTTTAGAAATCATAAAGAAAAACAATGAAATACAAATTATTGTAAAATATCCTAATTTTTTTAATCTGGTACCTTTAATTCTAGAACCTAAAATTTTAATTTAGTTACAACTTTAAAAAATTCATTTGAACTTAGATCCTTAATCACTTAAATCATTGTTCCATTAAATTGTAACTTGAGAAAAGAAGAAAGGCATACAAGAAAAAGGACGACCTCTATATATTATGACTTTCTTTTCTCTTATTTTATTTTATTTTATTTTGTGTGTGTGTTTTTTTGGCGTTTTTTTTTGGGTGGTGG